TAGGGACTTTGGAGGTAATTAGGTTTAGATGAGGTTCAGGCCCCTCTGATGGGATCGGTGCCCTTATAAGAAGAGGAAAAATCATAGGGCTTCCCTGGTGGAGCAAAGGGTTAAGACTCAGCACTATGAAGCTATTTGCACCCACTGCAGCATGAGTTCAGCATGAGCTCAATCCCCGGCTAGGGAGCTATTCACATGGTGTAGCAGACCTCTCCTGTCTTGCCCGCTGCTCCCCTCAGCAGTGTATTTCACTTGATCTGCCTATTTGCTCCCCACTCTCTCTCAGGTGAATCCTTTCATCCCCGCACCTCTGGCCTATACCCCAGTTCTTGTATGCATAAATAAATAAAAATAAATCTTAAAAAAAAAAGGAGACATCAGACCCCTCTCTCTACTATGTGAGGGCATAGTAGAGAGAAATAAGAAAATAAGAAAGAGAAAGAAATAAGAAAATAGAGTGAAGCTGTCAGCACCTTGATTTTGGATGTCTTGGTAGCTAGAAATGAGAGAAATAAACATTTGCTTAAGCTACCCGTCTATAGCATCTTGTTATTGCCACTTGGACTAAGACAATCCCCTAACTGATGTCTCTGTTTCCACACTCTTGTCCCACTATTCCATCCTGAGGCATAGCACAATGATGCCACATCTCCACCTGAAAACCTGGAGAGAATCCTACTACCTATGGTGTTGGACCCCCATCTTTCAACCCATGTAATCTTGCTTGATCACTGGTGAAGTGCTCATAAGCCCCGTTGTTATTAACACTCAATCAAGGCTCCAAGATCACATCGACTCATACAAGTCCTGCCTTTGGCAGCGCTTCTCCCTGAAATCTTGGGCCTTACTAGGGTGTTGCCTTGTTCTACAAATCAAGCCTAGTTAGTACCACAGTATGACCCCAATGCCAGCCACCTGAACACCAGATATTTCATCCTCACTCTTGAAATATGAGAGACTAGAGACCCATAGAGGTCAAGAGTTGCCAGTGTGTCTTTCATTTTTGAACTTTTAACATTAGAAATGCACCCAAACTATAAATCGAAATGGTATAGTTAAAATATATACACTTAACAAATTATTCCTTTTTACACACAAAAAATGATGCAATGTAATTGTGCTAACTACAAGATAATTAGAGGCATGAAAAAAGAAAAGGAAATTTTTACACTTATGAGAAAATATGAGTTTTTGTCATCAGAGCAAAAAGAATTTCTTAGGATGCAAAAAGTACAAATGAAAAAGGGAAATGTTGATAAATGTGATTATATTAGCACTTAAAACTTCAGTATAATAAAAAAGATAAGTAAAAGAAGAGTAACAGACTGGGAGTAGAATTTGTAACTCATAGTCAACAAAAAGGAACATTTTCCAGAATATGTAAAGAGCTCCTACAAATTTGGCTTATTCTATTTGGTTTATTATTTGAGTGCTCTTGGACCATGTGTGAACAGACTGTTATTTGAATAAAACATCATGTCAAGATAAAGAGAGACCAGGTGGAGATGGAATCACATCAAATGCGAGCATGCTGACCTTGGGGTCGGGGTGAGAGGGAAAGTCAAGTGGGACCCAGGCCTGAACTCTGTTATTTTATTTCTTTTTTTCAAAAATCTAAGAAAATGCATTAAAATGTTACAAAATGGGTTTTTTTTTTAAGATTTATTTTATTATGCATACAAGAACTGGGGTGTAAGCCAGAGGTGTGGGGTGAGAGGATTCATCAGAGACAGAGTGGGGAGCAGAACAGGTGGGTTGACTGAAATACACTGCTGAGGGGAGCAGCGGGTGAGACAGGAGAGGTCTGCTATGCCATGTGGGTTAATCCCTGGATGGAGATTGATCAGACTCTTGAAGCAGTGGCTGGCGATAGCTTGATAGCCCTGAGCCTTTAATCCTTGCGCCACCAGGGAGGCCCCAAAGTGGGTTTTTATTACCCTAGTTTGTAGTGTTCCTGTGAAGACAGGAACGATTTCGCCCTCCTGTGAGGACAGAGTGGGGCTTTACTTGACACATACTATCTGCTGTGGCACTTGTTTACGAACAGATCTTACCTAAATATTTCTGGACACCCTTTGACATCATGGGCACGTTTCTAGGTGCCAGGTGGCCCATGGTGCACAGAATAGGCATGGGTTCTACTCCCAGCATTTTCCTCCCTTGTATTGTGTTCTAGTACACGGGTGGTTCAAAGATGGACCCTGGGGGCCTCCCCTGGTGGTGCATTGGTTGAGCGCTGGGACTCAAAGCTGCCTGCAGCCTCTGCAGCACCGGTTCGATCCCCGGCCGCAGGCGAGGGTCCCACATGACACGCAGACCTCTCCTGCCGCCCCCACTGCTCCCCTCAGCAGTGTATTCATCAGTCTGCCTGTTCTGCTCTCCCCGCTGGCTCTGGCGAATTCTCTCACCCTCCTGCGCTTCTGACTGTACCCAGTGCTTGTATAAATAAATAAACAAATCTTTAAAAAAAAAAAAAAAGAAAGAAAGGTGGACCCTGGAACAGACACAACAGCTCACACAGGAACTTATTCAAAATGCAAATTTGGGACCCCTATCCCAGACCTATGAGTTCAGACATAGGTTTGTCCATGCTTTGACAAGCTCTGCAAGTTTGGGGACCACTGCTTTTGTATAGGGAAGAGAATGCAACCTCCTCTTTTTTTTTTTTTAAAGATTTATTTATTTATTTATTTATTTATTTATTTATTTATTTATTTATTTATTTATTTATACAAGCACTGGGTACAGTCAGAATCACGGGAGGGTGAGAGAATTCACCAGAACCAGAGCGGGGAGCAGAACAGGCAGACTGATGAAATACACTGCTGAGGGGAGCAGCGGGCGTGCGCACCATGTGGGATCCTCTCCGTTGGCAGGGGATCGAACCGGCGCTGCAGAGGCTATGGGCAGCTTTGCAGCCCAGCGCTCAACCACTGCGCCACTGGGGAGAGGCCCTGCAACCTCCTCTTGACACCCAATATAAGGCAGGGTTTCCTTCCAAAAATCTCCTGTTTCCTGACAAGGGTCAGAGAGGAAGAGAAGCCTTAGAAAGCTGGGCAACGCTCTTTCATCATGGGTGCCGTACCAACTTTGTTATGGTGCCTGCTGTCCTGGGGTGCTGGGAACACCTCCCCCACGCTTACTAATGCTCGGTTTGCTAAGTTAAACTCTTTTCAAGTCAGACTCAGCTTCCATGATCCTCCCACAAAGCTGCCCTCACCAGGTCATATATCTATGTATGTCTAAATTTCAGGGACAGAATCTATTTCCCAGACGTAGGCAGACTGACTGAAATACACTGCTGAGGGGAGCAGCGGGTCAGACAGGAGAAGTCTGCTGAGCCCTGTGGGTTGCTTCCTGGCAGGGGCCTCCAACTAGTGCTGCAGTGGCTGCAGACAAGTTTATAGGTTGTTTCTCAACACTTGTGCCACCAAGGAGGCCTTAAGATGTGGTTTTCCACCTTCAAATAGCTAGGGCATGAAACACACATGAAAACAAAGAAACAAAAAACCCAGCAGCTTTCATGGAGCTAAGGATGGTGCATGATGGCCTGGAGGAGGGCAGAAAGGGTTCTGCTTGTGAAGAGGTAGAGGGTGAGGAGAGGGAGCTGTCAGAGCAAGGAGGAGATGTCATAACAAGAAAGTGTAAAAGGACAGAACGCTGTGGCAGGGCAAAGACATCCTCCCATATATTTGGGGGGAAGATTGAAACATTGAAGAAAAATAAATAACGTTTCACAAAAGCCAAGGAGAAACTACAAAAATGAAGTTTTATTTATTTATTTTTTTTAAAGATTTATTTATTTATACAAGAGCTGGGGTACAGGCCAGAGGCGTGGGGGGTGAGAGGATTCACCAGAGACAGAGTGGGGAACAGAACAGGCAGACTGACTGAAATACACTGCTGAGGGGACCAGTGGCGAGACAGGAGAGGTCTGCTGCGCCATGTGGGCTGCTCCCTGGCCAGTCAGGGATCAAACTCGTGCTGCAGAGGCTGCGGATTGCTTCATAGTGCAGTGCTTAACCCCTTGCGCCACTAGGGAGGCCCCAAAAATGAAGTTTTAAACTGCACCGAAAGTTAAGTAAAGAGGTGTACTGATAAAAGGTGATCATTACTTCAAGTTTTATTTCAGGAATTACAGCAGGTATATGATCCTGAGAAAAAAGATAATATTTCTGTCCTGCAGGATTCTCATGGAAATTGAAGTCACCTCTTAGAACTTAAGGTTTGGTTTCTATTCAGACTTCTACATCTACATGATTCAGAATGGCATTCCCGAATTCGGGAACTGCAGAGAGTTCCAGAACTAAAAGAGAGTGTGTATTAATCAAGTTGAGAATTGCGGTTTTTCTGCTAGTGGGTTTAGGGCAAAGTCTCATTCCGACCGGCAGGAGGCAGCATAACCCAGTACTCTGAGTCAGGATCCCGCTGCTGTAGGCACCTCCTGCCCAGCGAAGGGGGAAGGCTTTCAGTTATGTGCTTATGTTAATACTGCTCTATAGCCTGAATAAAAAAAGTAGGAATTAATAGCCAAATATCTTCAACACGTTAAACGCTATGGGAATTTCAGGCATTACTGCAGAAATCCCACCTAAATATACCATCATGAAATCAGAGAAGTTCAAATCTCTTTACAAGTGAGCCTTGTTCCTATTTCTGCAAATGGAAGCTCTAGTATGTAAACCCACAAAACGCAAATTAAAGTTTGGAAAAGATCTGGTAGATCTGGTAGATTTCCAGTATGTAGATGTAACTAAACGAAAATAAATCTCACAGGCAAATTTGACCTGTAAGTATAAAAAAATAAAGCAAGGCTTCTTTCTGGCACTTTCCAATTTCCATACTATAATGCTTATGCTCTAAAATTGTTTTAAATGATTATGTTGCACTTTTGAATATATTATAGGAGTCATTTTATCTAGTGTAAACACTGTATATTTTTATCTACAATAGCTGGAATACTATGTCTGATGTATTTGCAAATCTCTCCAACTTCCCAGAAGCAGTAAAGAAGAGTGGAGAAGCATATCAGCCCTTTCTTTCTCCTATGTGACTTGAAAGAGGTACCTCAAGCTCTCTGATCTTCTTAGCACCTACCAGGAATTGGACTGTTCGTAATAGTCCCAACTTGTTAAGCTTGTTGGTGAGTATAAAACAAGTGTGTGGCACGCTGTGGACACTCAATAAGTATTTGGTTTGCTATGAGCATCAGGGGGTTTGGTCTCTAATCTAGAATATGACTTAGAGTTAGGTATGATCCTTTTAGGCAGTTTTTATAAGAAAGACATATGTCATTCTAATCAGTACCTTCATATATAAAATACACCCAAAGTTATATAATAAAGCTAGTAAAATAAAATAAGATTAAAAAAAACTAGAATATGACTTAGGGTACTTCCAGATTTTAAGTTCTATGATTCTATAGGATATGGTGAAGGATAAAATGTACTTTCATTTTAGTTTTACTAAAACCACCAGCACATGCCTATCTATTGTATATGAACGTTCTGCTGATCTGGACCATGTCAAAGCTTCAGAATAATGAGTTACACCCTCAAAGGGCATAGGTTGTTTTGTTTCAATAAATCAGTTTCTCTGGGATGCACATACCTATGCAGAGCAATGAAACTATCATCATTCACTAAATGGGACTCCAAGCAGCTTGAGAGAATTAATGGACTTGATAATGTTTGGGAACGCCATGAAAGAGAATAAATACATAACTAGAACAAGATGGCAAATTAAAAATGTTTGAGTGGTCATATGTGTTTGAAAACTCTGTAGTCTCCTCTTAGAGATTCATAATGCCCTTTAGTATATTAAAAAACTCTGTCTAATGGAAATGGAATGCAAGCCACAGATGCAATTCTTTAAAAATTAAAATGGAGCAGATGAAATTAATTTAAAAAATCTTTTAGTGAATCTAGTGTATCCCAAATAGTATCACTTCAACATGTAACTAATATTAAAAATATTATTTGCAGCATCTTCTTCGTCTTTGAACTACAATGTGATTGTACACTTGCAGCCCATTCAATTCAGAGGTGCTAAATTGCAGTGCACACAAGCTAGTGGCCACTGTATTGGATGACTGGCCTAAGAGAATCTGAGGGAACCCCACGTAGAACCTGAACCAAGAAATTACAGGGAAAGAATAGAAGGCAGGGCCAAGGTTTTATTTATTTATTTATTTATTTTTAAAGGTTTATTTATTTATGCATGCAAGAACTGGGGTACAGGCCAGAGGTGTGGGGGGTGGGTGAGAAGATTCACCAGAGACAGAATGGGAAACAGAACAGGCAGATTGACTGAAATACACTGCTGAGGGGAGCAGTGGGTGACACAGGAGTGGTCTTCTGCACCATGTGGATAGCTCCCTGGCCAGGGAACAAACTCGAACTCATGCTGCAGTAGCTGTGAATTGCTTCATAGTGCTGATGCTCACCCCCTTGCACCACCAGGGAGGCCTCAGGGCCAAGATTTTAGAAGACAGCCTGTGTAGAAAAGGTTTAAATGACTATAGTAACCATTAGGATTAGAAACTCTAAGTTTCTAAGTGATCACTCAGCTCTCTTCTGATACCCCAGGCAGAGGTCAGGAGAGCCTGTCTAGCCCAAGAATGGTCTGGTCTTATGTTTATTTACTACTCTGAATTCTAGTTTAGTTGTTGTTTGTGAGTATTTTGAAGCTGTGAACTGTTAAGCATTTTTAAAAAATCTACAATCATGTATATTAACAGCAACTACATCTCAATCTCTTTATCCAAAGAGAGCTTTAGTCCCTTATCCCAATTTTCTGGTGCCCCAAATTTTCCTTGTCTCCTTGCAGACATTCTCTTCACTCCCTGTCCTGACTCTCCCCACTTTTGTCTCATCTTTGGGCCAACTTTCTTCTCCTGAACAGAAGATATGACAAACTTGAAATATTTGGTTCCTTCCTAACCTGCGGTGGACACTTCCTCTCATGCGCCGTTGTAAAAACGTTTTATGATCCCACATATTAATCAATGTGGTTCCTTATCACTGCAACGTAATTGCACCATGAAACATGATAATGAGCCAAAAGGCCTTCTCTAAACCTTTCTCTCAGTGATTACTCTGGAGAGTTATGTAGGAGGGGAGATGGCAAAAGTTTAATCAGAAATTGAGTCTTGCAGGAGTTCGTCCAACCTACCCCAGAACTTCTCCAAAGGATATTTGCTTTTCCCCCTCAAGTATTCAGTTTGATCCAAAGTCTGCTAGCAATTTAAAAGTCAAATCCTCCACAAGGGTTACCAAATAGGAATGGGTATCTCGTTTTGTTAGGGAAGGAAGATATGTGATTATCTGCCCATGTTCAGACACCTGATCCAAGGTGCTTGGTCTCCCAAGGATGCCCCCTGAGCACTAACTTCCCCAGTTACCTTCTCAAGTGGGCTGCGCCAAGTAACTGAACCAGCTATCTGATCCCCCATCCTGCAAAGCAGCAAACATCTATCAGGCTCCAAGGAACCTGTTTTATGTAAACACACACATCTCACATCTCTCATCTTGAGGCTTACGCATAGACCCAGGCAACTGAATTGGGACCACATGCTTTTGATAATACTTTGGCAGGCAAGCACTCCCAAGACCAGGATTTCTCATTATCCCTCCCCGTCCTTAGTTGGGAGAAAAATATATACATTTTTTTAAGATTTATTTATTTATGCATCCAAGAGCTGGGGTGTAAGCCAGAGGTGCGGAAGGGTGAGAGGATTCACCAGGGTCAGAGCAGGGAGCAGAACAGGCAGACAGACTGAAACACACTGCTGAGTGGAGAAGTGGGTGAGACAGGAGAGTTCTGGTGCGCCATGTGGGTTAGCTCCCTCACCAGGGATAGAACTTGGGCTGTAGGGGCTGCGGATTGTTTCATGGTGCTGAGACTTAACTCCTTGCACCACCAGGGAGGTCCCCTCCATACATATTTCTTGATTGCACTTTTGGAAAATCACTTACCTGTTATTTGGTGTCTGAAACAACTTTTAAGGCAAAGAGCGTTGAATTTGGTTACTTTTTCTCCTGTGATTCATATTACTCTCTTTTTGACAATGGAATAGGAAAGGTGGCAGGAGAAAACCAACTGTAAAGAGAAATAGAAAGAGTGAGGACAAGGTGCCCCTATTCTCCTGCTACTCCTTGTTTGCACCCCAACATGGGGTTCCTATGACTTCCTGCTGTTTCAGTTTTCCTTTTTCCTCCCAGTTAACATTTGCTCTCGGAAGCTCAAAAAGCTGATTTATACCCAAAGATTTTTAAAAATATGTCATAAAATTCACCCTTCTAAAGTGGACTTTTAGTGTATTCCAAGAGTGTGTAGCCATTATCACCATCTAATTCCAGAACATTTACATCAACCCACAAAGAATATCCACACCATTAACAGTCACTCTCCTTCCCCTCATTCCCTGTACAGCCTGTCTCTGTGGACTTGCCTATTGTGACTATTTCCTTTAAAAGGAATCTTAGGGCCTCCCCGGTGGCGCAGCGGTTGAGCGCTGGGTTGCGAAGCTGCCCGTAGCCTCTGCAGCGCCAGTTCGATCCCCGGCTTCTCCCCAGCCACCGGAGGAGGGTCCCGCATGGCGCGCAGACCTCTCCTGCCGCCCGCTGCTCCCCTCAGCAGTGTACTTCGGTCCTTCTGCCTGCTCTACTCCCCGCTCTGGCTCTGGTGAATTCTCTCACCCTCCTGCGCTTCTGACTGTACCCAGTGCTTGTATAAATAAATAAATAAAAACAAATCATTAAAATAAATAAATAAATAAAAGGAATCTTAATATGTGTCTTTGTTTCCCTGTTTGAGGCATGTCCTGCACCACCATCAGGACCTTTCAACCTGTCTCTTGCCACCATCAGTAAAAACATTGACACAGCCTGCATGCTGTCCCAGGGAGAGAAAAAAATCTCTGTCCAAGGGCAATTCCAACTCTCAGCATCAGTTGTTCTGTAGGGCCTTAGTTTGCCATTATTGCCCAAAAGTGTCAGATTTGCTTCGTATTGAAACTTTTGAGAAAAGTATTTTTTTTAATTTTTTTATTGAAGTAACATTGCGTTGTAATGTAAGTTTTAGGTTTGCATCATTATAAGTCATTATAATGTATATGTATAATGTATATGTATAATGTATATAATGTAATATAATATATTACATTAAGGTCACCACTAAAAGTCCAATTCTATCTATCCTTTGCTGTTATTATAATTGGTTTTTTTTTAAGATTTATTTATTTATACAAGAACTGGGTTACAGCCTAGAGGTGTAGGGGGTGAGAGGATTCACCAGAGACAGGGTGGGGAGCAGCGGGAGAGTCAGGAGAGGTCTGCTGCGCCATGTGGGTAGCTCCCTGGCCGGCCCCGGATCAAACTCGTGCTACAGAGGCTGTGGACAGCGTCACAGTGCTGTGCTTAACCCCTTGCACCACCAGGGAGGCCAGCTGTTTTCATAATTCTCTGGGGAAATTCAGCTTGAGGATGAGTGTAGGTTCTGAGGAACACCTGGAACTAATACAGAAGGTGGTTGCAAAAGAAAGCTTACAACTGAATCCAGGGCAGAGGGCTCTGGAGCCAGATAGTGTGGGTTCTAGTTATTGGTTCAAAAAGTAAGCCTCCTGCAGGTTCACCTTCTGTTTCTTTCTTTTTTTAAAGATTTATTTATTTATTTATTTATTTATACAAGCACTGGGTACAGTCAGAAGCGCGGGAGGGTGAGAGAATTCACCAGAGCCAGAGCAGGGAGCAGAGCAGGCAGAGGGACCGAAGTACACTGCTGAGGGGAGCAGCGGGTGGCAGGAGAGGTCGAACCGGCGCTGCCGAGGCTGCGGGCAGCTTCGCAACCCAGTGCTCAACTTCTGCGCCACCGGGGAGGCCCCTTAATGGGAATGTACCAGTGAAGACTGGTACATTGGCCCACTGTTACTCTGGGGAGGCTGAGACCTCAAATGATCAAATCTAAATAGTCACAATTCAACTGGTATTCACGTTTCCTCAAAGAATAACTCCAGAATTGCCATATAAACAGTTTCTTTCTTTTTTCCTCACAGGGCTAGTGGAAGAAACTGAAGGGTCCTCACTACAAAGGGGATCTATGTAAAAAAAAAAATTTTAAAGCAGAGGCAAATGCTATGAATGATCTCAGGAGGGAAGAAATGGAAAATTTTAGAAGTATACAAAATTTTAGAAGTATACAAGGTAAATGAATTGAGTCATTTGGAGATCAGAGAAGGAAAAGAATAAGCCTCTCAAAGCTGCAGTTTACTCAAGTAAAAAAAAGTATAATCAAAACCACAACCCAATGTAAAGTGTCAGGAGAAAATGTCAGCACTAATTACACTTACTGGTGGTATCACTGAAGGAGATCAGGAATTGCTGCCTCAAAATATGACATTTTAGCATAAGGAGTGTTTTGAGCTAAAGGCAACTGAAAATTAACAGACACAGGAAGTTTCTGTCCTCACTCTATCCACCTTGTCCAATGTATAAAAGCAGGGCATACATTTCCCTTTGTGCTACGGTCCCTCCTATATAAGGAAGAGAACAACTCCAGTCACTGGAGACGTGAGATGAATCTGCATAAACAGATCTTGCTGAAATAACACTTACCTTCCATTAGTCCTCCTCATGTATATTACAGTCTCTTTCCAACAATGTATCATCCCTTGAAGCCCAAACCCTTTCTTCTGCTTTTGATTTTAATCACCTATTTGAGTATCTCGCAATTTCTATAAATTCCTGTTAATACTCCTGTTAATCTGTCTATTGGTAGTTTAGTTTACACGCTTCAAACCTGAGAGGGTGAAGAAAGTTTTTCCTCCCTGACATATTGTGGCTTGTTACAACATGGGTGGTGACACCAGAGGTGTGCTTTGCATTTTGCCATGGGGGGCGGGGTGCCTCTGTGCAACTTGATTCCATGCCTTGGCACGGTGGGAATCTGCCAACGCTGTTTTTTTTTTAAATTAATTTATTTATTTATACAAGCACTGGGTACAGTCAGAAGCGCCGGAGGGTGAGAGAATTCACCAGAGCCAGAGCCAGGAACAGAACAGGCAGACTAACCGAAATACACTGCAGAGGGGAGCAGCTGGCAAGACAGGAGAGGTCTGCTGTGCCATTTGGGTTGCTCCCTTGCGGGCCGGGGATCGATCTCGTGCTGCAGAGGCTTCGATTGCCTCATAGTGCGGTGCTCAACCCCTTGTGCCACCAGGGAGGCCCTGCAACACTTTTGGTAATGATTGTCCACTAGAATTGCTTGGTTGACCTGTTGACCAATTGGCTAACAGCATGCTAACAGGTATTATTAGGAGGGAACAGTTTTCTTCAAAGGAGTTTTAGACTCAAATAGAAAAGGGGGTAGAAACAATCAGATTAGTTGAGGTGGAGCTTGGGAGAAAGGGGGAAATTGTGCTTACTGAAAAAAGGTCAGAGGTTCAAAATGGTAGCTACTAGTTTCTCATTTCCATAAGAAACAAAGGAAACTCAATAAAGGAAAAAGGGACTCACACCAGTTGTTGGTTGATTTGAAGAGAAGCAATCACTCAGTCATTTAGAAAGGAAGTTTTGTCGGGCCTCCCCTGGTGGCACAGCAGTTGAGCGCTGGGCTGCGAAGCTGCCCGCAGCCTCTGCATCGCCGGTTCGATCCCTGGCTGCCTGTGAGGGTCCCACATGGTGCACAGACCTCTCCTGACCTCTCCTGCCGTGCCCGCTGCTCCCCTCAGCAGTGTGTTTCATTGGTCTACCTGTTCTGTTCCCCACTCTGGCTCTGGTGAATTCTCTCACCCTCCAGTGCTTCTGACTGTATCCAGTGTTTATATAAATAAATAAATAAAATCTTTAAAAAAAAAAAAGTTTTGTCACCTGAAAAATATACCAACATAGGGGTTTTGTCTTGTGAATTTAGAGAACAAAGTCTGTCGACTGGAATCTCAGAAGACATGGTAAAATTTAGTTTCTTACATTAAGTGTGTTACTAAGCCTTCAGACAAGGACAACCTGTGACACATCTTTAAAAAATATCTGGGGATCAGACGGGAGCCTGATTCAATTTGTCGATTGCGCCACACTGAGCAGGACCTAAGTGAGAAATTTAACATGATTACAAAAGATGCTATTTTAGTGTGGCTAAAACCAGCCATTACAATGCCAACCAAATAAAATATGGAGACTAACTGGGGCGTGGATGGAGGAATGTAGGCTGCATGGGACTGGGAGACCATGGAATAATCTCACTATTGAAAACACAGTGAGATTCCATGTTACTGGTTACTAATGAGTCGGGCACTTCAGCAACTGGTAAACAGGTTGTACAGCGCAGTTCTCTAACTTGCCTGGCCTTCCTGCACCTTCCTGCGGTGCAGCTTGTGGGGAGGCAGTGAAATACTATCTCTGTAACTTGTGGGATTAAAGGACGTTTCTGTTTGCCCAGGAGCAGAAAGAAGAGGTGGTGGGAGAAAACACAGAGGTAGCTCACAGTGGAGACCAGAGTGCAAAGGAAAAAAACCCTGCTGGATTATGAGTAGAGACAAAGGAAAAGTTTAGTCTGCAAAAAGGAAGGAGAGACTGGGAAAGGCAAAAATGCAGCCTGGCATATCCTTGTTGTCAAAATCAAGAAAGCACAGAGAATTAGTAAACATTGGTCTTTGCTCTCCATGGGCAAAAGCTTCCCCCAAGCCAAGGGCAGGTAAAGGAATAAGGCTGCTTGCCAAAGACTTGAGGTGAAAGTTGCAAGAAGAGTTCAGAAGTTCAGGAAAATAAAAGAGGATTATCATTTAAGGGTTCTGTGAACCAGAGAAAAAGTAAAATGACATCAAGCCCAGAGAGCGGCAGGGGCTGGGCGGGGCAGGCGGGAGGGAGAGCTGGAGGCGAGGAGACTCATCTTTGAGTCCTTGAGCTTGACTGGGGGGAGGCCAGGAGCCTCAGGTAAACAGACTGATGTGCACCCTTTCTCTTCTGGATGCGCCTAATTCACTGATTAAGCGCCTATGAAAAGACCAGACTGGCAGTGAAGGTGGAGGACTCTTTCTGAGCAGACTCCATTTTTACAACCTGGGAGAGGAAAGCCTTTCTGCTATGGAATTTTGTGATTTTTTTCCCCCTTTCTTAAAAACATTTTAGGGGCCTCACTGGTGGTGCAAGGGGTTAAGCACTGCACTATGAAGCAATCCGCAGCCTCTGCAGCAGAAGTTCGATCCCCGGCCAACCAGGGAGCAACCCACACGCCAAGCAGACCTCTCCTATCTCGCCCGCTGCTCCCCTCAGCAGTGTATTTCGGTTAGTCTGCCTGTTCTGTTCCCTACTCTGTCTCTGGTGAATCCTCTCACCCCCCATCCCCCGCATCTCTGGCCTGTACCCCAACTCTTGTATGCATAAATAAATCTTAAAAATAAATAAATCTTTAAAAAAATTAAGTGCCATATATACTATCATTACATATTATAATTGTGTGGGCTGTAGTATATATATAGTAGTATATTATATATGTGCGATACATGTATGTTTTGTACATCAGTTTATAGTATTTATACAGGGACATATACCTACCTATATATTTGTACACACTTTTATTTATTTATTTTTATTTTTTACATCACACTTATATTTTAAATAAAACCACACAAGATTTGGAAAGGAGCTCAGAGGGTAAGTATAACAAAAGAAGACACACAGTTGGGGCCACGGTAAGGAGTGTCAAGTGCCCCCAACCCTCCTCAGAGAACGTAGGAAGATAATGAAAAAGATGGAGAGTAATAAGAGGTGAGGTGAAGGCAAAGCAAATTAGAGAACTAAATTATAGCGCAGGAGACAAATCTATAGAAAAACAGTGACAGTGAGGAAGAAAGAGGACAATCTATGTAAATGATGAATATGAAAGAATAAAAGACAAACACAGGGCCTCCCCCGTGGCACTGCGGTTGAGCGTTGGATTGTGAGACTGCGGACCCTCGCCACCAGCAAGGGTCCCATATGGCACACAGACCTCTCCTGCCGCCACCTGCTCCCCTCAGCAGTGTATTTCGTCAGTCTGCCTGTTCTGCTCCCTGCTCTGGCTCTGGTGAATTCTCTCACCCTCCCTCGCTTCTGACTATACCCCAGTGCTTGTATAAATAAATAGATAAATCTTTAAAAAAAAGAGACAAACACACTTTAAGAATAAAATCCAAGGAGGAAAGGCAATACAGGTTCTGATTAAAGTGTGAAGCATGGACTTAAAAAAACAAAACAGAACAAAACAAAAAAACAAAAATAAGTCAGAGATTAAAAATGTTGATATAAATTAGGATAAATTAAATGAATGAAAAGAATTTTTTAAAACTAAAGAATTTTTAGCAGACTTAAAATTTTGAGATTTTTGTGAAGGTGATACCAATGGGGTAGAATATTTGGATTTTAAGAGGCAAAGTTATGGACAAGAGAAAAAAAGAAGATAGTGTTTTTGGTTCAAATAGACTTACTATTGATTAAAAAAATAATTTTCAATATTTGGTGGGGATTTTGATGCACTTTTAGAATTTTTAAGTGACAGCAAAAAGATAATTCAGAGATCATTAAAAACTTTTTATTATACTTGTTCTATTTCTTTCAAACTCTCTTTGCACACACACAAATTCACATATTCTCTTTTTAACAGATCTGCAGATCTCATAATTCAGTATGCTTTTCCTATGAGTAAGAACATTTTTTTACATGCCCACAAAACCACTGTCACACCCAAGGAAACTAGTAATAAATTCATGGTATCTAATAGGCAGTCATATTTAACTATCAACAATAACAAAAGTATTTTTAGCAGTTTTATTTTTTTTAAACAATAACCCAATTAAGTTTCACCATTGCATCTGATTGTTTTGTCTCTTGAGAGTCATTTTTAGCCTGACATCATTTCTACACTTGATCTTAGCCAAAAGGCCGAGAAGCGATAGCCTGACATCATTTCTGATGTGAGAAAAGTACAATTGGGATAAGGTGATTCGCCCAGAGTCATTACAGACAGCAGATGCTGCATTTTACTTAAAGTAGGATTTTTAGTTTTAAATTTAAATTTAGTTTTAAATTTAAAAATCAATTGAAGGGGCCTCCCCGGTGGCGCAGTGGTTGAGCGCTGGGTTGCGAAGCTGCCGGCGACCTCTGCGGCGCCGGTTCGATCCCCGGCTGCTCCCCGGCCACCGGAGGAGGGTCCCACATGGCGCGCAGACCTCTCCTGCCGCCCGCTGCTCCCCTCAGCAGTGTCCTTCGGTCCTTCTGCCTGCTCTGCTCCTACTCTGGCTCTGGTGAATTCTCTCACCCTCCCGCGCTTCTGACTGTACCCAGTGCATGTATAAACAAAACAAACAAACAAACAAACAAATAAATAAATAAATAAAACATGCCTCTATTAAAAAAAACATTAAAAAAAATCAATTGAAAAGGGTAAGCATTAAAGATGTCAACCTAGCACAGGAAAGACTGTCTCTCTGTTAGCAATACTGAGTCCTCACCAGTGTCAGAGACTATACCAAACATTTGGATTTGTTAGCTCAGTTAATGTTCCTACAAACTCAACAAAGCTTTAGGGAGCCTCCACGTCTGCATTACACAGAGAATGCTCAGAGCTGATCCCAGCCTATCCCAGGTCTGGTGCCTGGCAGAAGACCCAGATGGGATTCCACAGAGCCTTTTTTATCATTTCACTGCTCCGACACCACTAACATATGTTCCTTTAAAGTATATTTTGAGATATTATATTATAAACTATAAAACTTTTCGGGCCTCCCAGGTGGCGCAGCGGTTGAGCGCTGGGTTGCGAAGCTGCCCGCAGCCTCTAGAGCGCCAGTTCAATCCCCGGCCGCTGGGCAAGGGGCCCACATGGTGCACAGACCTCTCCTGCCGCCCGCTGCTCCCCTCAGCAGTGTGCTTTGTCAGTCTGCCTGCTCTGCTCTCCCCCTCCCGCACTTCTAAGGGTACCCAGTGCTTGTATAAATAAATCTTTGAAAAAAAAAACTATAAAACTTTTCAAATGAAGTTTTAAAAATGGATGGCACTCTCCCAGTAACATTTCTTGCCAGTATTCTCAACAGTTTGCTTGGAGAGTCAATCAGATAGCATTATGGTGAAAGAAGAAAAGGTAAGGTAAAAGCTTCAGCCTTTGATACTGCAGCCAACAGAAACTGATGGGAATCCTAGGCCACATTTCAGCAATAAAGGGAGACTAGAAAACTTAATAGCAGTAAGAGAAAGCACTGATCATGCAAATGAGGGACATTGGTTGTGTTGTCAAGTGAACCTAGATTGAGAGTAGAATTAATAGAAGCACATCTTTCTTTTGCTGCTTTTTTTTTTTTTTTTTCGGTAAACTGTATGAAGATGTCAGGAAGTTTCTGGTAAACGCAAGACACAGGACTTGTATAATTGGGAATACATATGGGTATTCACATACAGGTATCACCTGCTTTTCAAAAGCTAGAGTTAGGCCACTTTGCTTTTATCGCAGACCTATGTTGGTCCCTGTTTGTGTTAACAGAAGGAAATCCAAAGGGAATTTTCACCTTTACGGCAAAATTTGAAAATTGAAAATTGTGTTTAGGTGGTTTTCCAGTGATGGTTCTCGAGGTAGCAGCACCTGGAGCAGCAAGGAACCCAGGAACTTTCCCAGGAACTGCTTTCTATAGTCTGGGTATATATCTTATCATTTCCATTTCTATTACATGTTAGTATTATCTTACTAATACTAACGTGTTATTTGATTTGAGTTGGTAAGTAATTTTGGGGATCTGGGAAAGCTCAAAATTTTTTCCATATAAACAAATGGTACTTGTTTCTTCCCTTTACACTATTTTGTCTTAGGAAAGTTTCATAAGAACACTGTATTTTCAGATTGTGGGGAAAACCTGTAATAGATTATTTCAGTAGATAGTTCTTGGGTGTGTTCTGTGTGTACTGTGGTACTTGGTACTTGTACACAGTACTTGGTACTGTGATGGCTCCTGTACCAAGTGATTTCCACTGTTTGATAGGCAGTGGGCTGAATACCTAGTGTCGTGGGCAAGAAGGAGGGATGCCTGTCATAGGCTTGGAAGGGACAAGAAAGGCTCCCTGGGAGGAACTGTAACCGGTGGCTGAAGCCAAAGATTGTTTTATGTGGTGCCCCCTGGAGGATAGATAGCCCCAGGGAAAATGCAAACAAAGTATTGAATTTGGGGTAGAAAATGATAAGAAATACAAGGGAATGCAGAAGCAGCCCCCAGCATATGGTGTTGGAGCGTTCAGTCCTGGGGTTTCAGCGTTTCCGGGTTTCAGCTTTTCCGGGTTTCAGCGTTTCCGGATCTTCAGCAATTCCGGGGTCAACGATTTCCGCCCCCACCATGCTGGTCTTCTAGAAGGCTGTTGTGGGCCTCTGAAGAATGTGGAGAAGCTTCCAGCAACCAACCTCAGAGAGGAAAAGTTCGGAGGATTTGCAAATAGCCGAGTGACTGAAACTGTTCCCGGTTACAGCCTGGCGGGGAAGGCGAAGACCAGAGCTGGGCTCCTCGCTGAGCTGCATGAGTGTGGCCATTTGTCGGGTAGTTCAGCCGCTGCAGCTGCTGTTTTGAGTGTCTGGTGCTGTGCTAGGGCAGCTCTGGGAAGCATCTCCTGTTGGGTCTTCCGTTGTCTTCGTGAGTTGGAACCTAGCCTATAGACTGGTTGCCACATGCTCCAGGTCCTCAGCAGCAAGAAGACGCCATCTTGTGTTTAGGATTTTAACACACTGATGCTGCTTCAGGTGAGGTAAAGGGTCATTTTAGGCCTCAGTAACTCTTTGTTTTCCCTGGTTTGTTAAACAAATCCCATTATGTTGTTCTCTGAATCTGAGTAGTCTTTCAGTTGCTTGCGGAAGAAGAACTCAGACAGTGACTGGTAAATTATTTGGGCAGTGTCCTTGGCCAGTTTTAGTGCCCGTTGCTGCCATGTATCAGAAGTGCCGTTTATGGGGAGACGGAAGGTGGAGTACCAATTTCCAGCTTGCTGAGCTGAATGGGCAAATTTTCTTTCAAGTACTTTAAGGCCACAGAGCAAAGCAAACTAGTCACACAAGCCTGCCTTTGAATTTGCAAGTAACACACACAGTCTGTGGACGCTAATAAAGCTGATGTGTAGGAAACCAGGTGTTTGGGACAAGAGGCATGACCTTTTGTGCTTTTGAATTAGCTAAAAACTTTTTTGCACAATTAAAAATGAATTCATGTTTTATACTTAAGATCAGTGCAGTAAAAAGATAGGGAAGGGCAAAATTTGGCAAAATTTGAGGATTCTGTAAAAATGATAGTGGTCTAAAGGAAGGAGCTCTGCTTTCCCATTTGTGACCACACTGTGGGCTTAGATAGGGTCTAAAGATTTAAGACTGGGC